GCCTGGGGTCTCTGGATTTCTAGCCCAGCGACATGACCACGATGCCACCATCTGACAGCAGCAAGCCAGATCCTCAGCCAACGGGGTGGCAAGCGGACTGCAGGCTGACAGGGTTTCAGCATGTGCCCCTGATGTGGACTGGTATCGTCATGGCTGCTCCCAGAGAGGCTCACGCCAGGACCTCTCCAGCCCTGGAGGGGCACCAGGGCTTGGGGCCAAACGATGGTCAGAAAATACCTGTTCCAGACAAATACCAGGATTGCCTCCAGATCACAAACGCCACGGCACGCACACCTGGCAGAGTGTGCGCCACGGTGGGATTCGAACCTGGGTCCCCAGAACATTATCTGGGTCTCTGGATTCACAGTCCAGTAATAATACCACCAGGCCATCGCCTCCCTGCAGTTGTAAATGGATCACATCAAGCCACCAGCCGATAGCCTCAACGTCTCAAGGGGTTGAGACTCGCCGACTGTGTTGGCCCTGTGTTGGTATAAATCGATCCTCACCAGAGATTCCACACCATCACAGCACTATGACAGGCCCAATGTCACAAAACACCACCCAGGCATGCTCATGCTCTGACGGTGCAGGGTGTAACAAGTAGGCTTTGTTGCTTTTAAACCCGTGGACTATGTTATCACAACAATAGCACGAGTCAGGCTGTTGCCCTGTATGGCATCGTTGACGTCAGTGGGTTTGCAATCCCTTCAGGAAAAGTTCGCAGACGCTACGAGGCATCACCAGAATGCACCCCACACTTCCTTAGACCAACACTCGGTGAGGAGGGAAGAGGAGATTTCAAGTCAAGGGACGGTCACGCCGGGTAACTGCGCAATTTGTATGCTAATTCACCCCGCGTAAGCACGCACCATGCAAGAATGACCTTCCAACTCTACTGGCTTGGTCATACCGGGCCATCTCCGTCCCCTGCTCTCGCACGAGGACACAGGGCTGAGAAAACCAGCAACATTCTAGCTGCTAAGTCCTTCCGTCACCTATCCAGCCAGCCTCCAGAGCTGCCAATAACAACTACGCGCAAATGTAGAACACTCGGGGTGTATCTCAATATTCCAAGGCATGATGCAGGAAGGCAAAATGAGACTATGTTTACACAGAAGATATGGGCTCAAGTGACCAAGTGTTTCTCGCGCTCATACAGCACGGAAACAGACCCTTCGGTCCAACCAGTCCATGCTGACCGCAATCCCAAAGTAAACTAGTCCCACCTGCCTGCTCCTGGCCCATATTCCTCCAAACACTTCTTATTCGTGAACTTACTTAAATGTCTTTTAAACATTCTAACTGTACTCGCATCCACCAATTCTTCTGGAAGTTCATTCCACACACCAACCACCCTCTGTGTACAAAAGTCGCCCCTCATCTGCTTTTTAAATCTTTCTCCTCTCATCTTAAAAATATGCCCCCGAGTCTTGAAATCCCCCACCCTTGGAAAAAGACACCTGCCACTCACCTTTTCTATACTCCAGATTTTATAAACCTCTGTATTCACATGCTAACCTCCTAGCTTCAGTGAAAAAAGTCCCAGCCTATCTAGCAGCAACATCCTGGTAAATCTTTTCTGAACCCTCTCCAGCTTAGTAATATCCTTCCTATAACTGGGTGACCGGAACTGCACACAGTACTCTAGAAGGGGCCTCATCAACGTCCTGTACAACCTCAACACGACATCTCAACTCCGATACTCAAATGTTTGATCAAAAGAAATACGTTTTTAAACAGCCTTTTAAAAAAAAAAAAAAAAAAAAAAAAAAGGAAAGAAAGGGCTGGATTTGGGGAGGGGGGGGGTGGGGGGGGGGGGGGGGGGGGGGGGGGGGGGGGGGGGTGCGCGGTTTATGGGGGAACTCCAGTGCTGAGGGATCTATGCAGCTCAAGGCATGAGCGGAGTGTAAACATCAATTGTACAAAAAAGGCTATATGCTGCTGCACTAGACTACGAAAACATTATGAAGCAAGCCATGCATTCCACATTCTAAAACAATTGCGGTGTGCAGAACAAATCAAGGTGATGGGAGTGGGCACACAGACACACAAAATAGGGCAGAGTTACAGCATCGCTTGTGTCTGAGGGTTACAGAATGTCACAAAGACAAGGAAAGCATGTGGCCACGAGAGGATAAGAATTTTGTTTTTTTCCCTTTAAATGAAGTAGAACAATTTGGCAACGCCAGACCAGAACAGAACCTTGGTTCAATCAATCAATCAATCAATCAATGAGGTTGGGGGAACAAGGGTGAGGGGGGTGTGATGGAGTTTATCGGAGAGCAATCAAGATACTCTCCCCCTCCCGACAATCTGTTCTGCTCCCCCGCAGCCCTCTCACTCTGGCCCATACCCCCAGAGACCGAGTGTCAAATTTCCTGCCACCACCTTGGCTTAGTCTGCACAACTAACTAACTAGGTTTGGCACTGGGACTGGGCACAGTGCTCACTGCTCAGACAAACAATAATCTACCAACTGTACCAACCCAGGGAGGGAGTGTCTCATGGCACATATTTTTAAATCAAGCAGCTCACAACAGGTTATTCCAAAATGCGTCCCAGCCAATTATTCCACTTTTATTTGAAGTCTGGTCATTGTTAATGAATGAGCTCATTGACACAGCAAGCTGCCAATCAGATCAGGTAGTCTGCTTCCAGTGACATCATTTCACGGAGTAGACATTAGTTTGAGGGGCCAGGGAGAACTTCCCTCCTTTTCTCTAAAGTAATGCTTTATTTCAGTAGCAACCTCTGTCAGCACCTCGTCTGAAGCCCCTCCAACAGTGCAGCACGTAAGCAGTGCTGCATTCAATTAAAGTACATCGTCGTGGGCACCACTCCTCCTCCACAATCAAGGTTGTGGGGCTGAAGTCCCACTCCAAAGGTTTCAAAATAGTTGCCTCAGTTAATACACCAGTAGAGGGCTGAAGGAGCACTGCACGACTGGCCAGATCACTACACCGCAAGAAATGCAGCACCAAGGAGTGACAGTGCCATGAGATGTCCAACACTGAAGGAACATCAGTGGGACCGTCTTACAGTGAAGACTTTAAGCCAAAGTCCTGGCTTTTCTGTCAGATGGGTGCAAAAATATCCCACAACAATATTAGGAGCAACAACAGAAACCCTCCTGTTATCCTGGCTAAAAGTTATCCCTGAACTAAAAAAAAAATGCATCTGGTCCTTATCGGATTGCAGTTTGAGGGAGATGCTCTGTGCCAATTGGATGTAATTCCTACACATCTCAGTGACCGAGTAGATCACTGGCTGTAAAGTGCTTTGGGATGGCCTGATGTCGTGAAAGGTGCTATATAAATGTAGGTAACAGGGTGTAGAGCTGGATGAACACAGCAGGCCAAGCAGCATCAGAGGAGCAGGAAAGCTGACGTTTCCGGTCTGGACCCATCTTCAGAAATTCCTGCTCCTCTGCTGCTGCTTGGCCTGCTGTGTTCATCCAGATCTACACCTTGTTATCCCAGATTCTCCAGCATCCGCAGTTCCCACTATCTCTGATATAAATGTAGGTTCTCTCTTTTAGACACAACATAACTCCACAAATGTAGCATATAATAATTAAACATATTTCAACAAGAGAACGGTGTTCCTGCATTTAGCAAGGCATTCTAGAACCTATACAGTGCAGAGACCACAAAAAACAAACACTCAGTAAAAACAACACCACTAAAAAGCCAAAATTATCTTGCAGAATCAACACATCAAATTCCTCATTAATTTACAGATAATGTATATTTCCTATAGATTAATCATTCGTGCAAACTGGTACATTAATGCAAATACTCCAGAAACAGTAAAATCCCTAATCCTATCTGAAAACAGCTGAAAAGATTCTCTCTCTCTCTTCCCCATCCACCTCCCTCTAAGAAGTGCAAGGGTGGCTTTCAGATCAACTTCCCTGGTAGATGATGCCAGCTCAAAAGATTTCCTCGAAACATGAACTCAGTTGTTGATAGATTCCTCTCTCAGGTAATCGGGGGGGGGGGGGGGGCAGAGGAAATCGGGACAACAACAAAAAAAAATCCTCTGTCCCCAGCTCAAACCTGGTTCCCCAACCACCACTCAGCCCCCAACGTTAAAATAATGAGCAGTAGAACCCAAACAAAATCTGAACACAGTAGCCAGTTCGATCTTTTCAACACAAAAAAAACACCCACACACAGAACAAAAATATAAGTGGTTCGTCCAAATCATTTATGTTAAGTCTTTAAACTGAATTGTTACTAGGTTGTATTCTGGAGGGTGGTGGAGAATGGAGTTGCGGGGGGCGGGGAGAGAAAGAAAGGAAGAAAGAGAGATAGTGATGGATATATTCTTGATGTTTAAAGCAGCTCCTGTTGGAGTGTCCCTCTGTTAATAATGTCATTTTGGCCCAGATGAAACACACAAAAGCTATCCACAAAGTTTGTGTGCCTGTGGGGTTGGGGACATGAGAATGTTATTAAAAACTCCAACAACCAGAGCTAGGTTGAAAGGAGGTGGGGGGAAGAGAGTGGGAGACAATTAGTAAGGGAGGGGAAATAATTCAAGCGAGAAAAAAAACAAACAATCCACAGCGAGAAAAGGCAAGATCTAGGAGAAACGGCGATAGACGGTTTCACTTTGAGACCATACAAAACATCCCTCCCTCCCTCCCTCCAACTCCTTTTCCAGCCAGTTCCCTTGTACTGAAGTGATCAGGAGTTACATTGTTTATTACCTTCCCTTGTCTTCCTGTGACAATCCTGACAAGAGGGAAAGAGAGAAAGAGAGAGGGGAGGGTGTAAAAAGAAGGAGAAAGTCACAAAGGTTTCAGTTTTATACATAAGGGAGAGAGAGAGAGAGGGGGAGGTGGAGGGAGGGGAAGAGCTTTCAAAGCTAAGGCCAAGATGGCGGGCCAGATAATTGTTTCCCTTTTTGTAAGAGGGAGAGAGAGAGAGAGACACTTATTTCTCTGTTTGCTTCAGCCTTACGTTTGCAGGAGTTTGCCGAGAATCTCTTACCAGTCTTTTCTTTAATCTCACACAAAACACTGAAGAGGGCAGGTTTCATTCTGTGACAGTTCAGGGCATGTTTCCTTTTCAGAGAAAGAGAGAAAAACAAATTCACATCAACAAAGGACTCAAAAAAATAAATGTGTGTTACAGAAAAAAAAAAGACAGAGAAAAAAAAAACTTTCGACCGGAGAGAAAAAAAAACATATTTAAAGATTAAAACGCCACTCCCTTCTCACTTACAGGCGAGATTTAGAATTTTACTGTATTTAAAAAAGGGGGAAAAAAAAGGAAAAATGACCAACTTGGCTTGAGCTTCGTCCAGGCTTTGGTCAGTGATGGTCATGATCTGGTGGAGGATGTCTCCAATGTCCTGTTTCCTGCCTTCCCCGTTATCCGTGGCTGTTTCGTGAAGGTGCCCAGCCAACAGTGGCTGAAGGCCGCTCTGGACTGAGTGCCCGGGACCTGATCCTCCTCCTCCTCCTCCTCCGCCGCCGCCTCCTCCTCCTCCTCCACCGGCACCGCCGCCGCCACCGCCACCTCCTCCTCCTCCTCCTCCAGCCCCGGCTCCCGCTGGCGCTCCGGCCCCGGCTCCCCTAGTCTGTAGCAGCCGGTTCTGCTCGTCCATCCTCCTTCCCAGCACCGGGAATACGGGCAGGGACAGGTCCAGCGCCTCGGCTTTCCCTTGGCAAAATTATCACCGTGAAATTAAAAAAAACACTAACACACACACGCAGAAAAAATCCCAACGATTCGCCTTTAGACTGTGTGTGTGTGGGAGATAGAGGAGGGGAAAGAGAGAGAGAGAGAAAGAAAAACAAGGGAGGGGAAAAAAAACCGAAAAAAAAGGTGGTGGAAGCAGAAAGGGGAGGGAAAAAAAAGTGTTCAATTCCACCGAAATGTCTTCACTTTTCCTCTTTTCCCCTCGGCCTTCTTGTGTTTTGGATTCTAAATTATTATTTCTCCCGGGTTCAGTAGAAAAGGGGTGTTCCAAGATTTCCCCTCTCTCTCCCTTTAGTGCACAGAAATGAAAGGTTTGCTTCCTCGCACAAGCGCAGGCAAACATAGAAAAGTACTCCAGCACCCAGTTTACCGTGCCTCAGTGCTGCCACAGCCGCTTACTTTGTAATGCAGATGGTATTGAGAGAGAGAGAGAGAGAGAGAAGCAGGGGGATGGGCTTTTTAAAGGCACACGCTTCTCTCAAAGCAAATCGTCCATCCTCTTTCTTTCTGTCTGTCTCTCAACCGCCCGGCTCGCTGTGCTTCAGTGGGTCATCGCTGTAGAAGAGGGGAGAGAGTCCAACTCAGATGGACTCTAACTGGGGGGGTGAGGTACAGGTCAGCGACCGTGATGGTAGACACGGTGCCAGGCAGTAGGGCACTGATCTGATTTGATTTATTATTGCCACACGTATCTAGGCACAGTGAAAAGTTTTGTTTTGTGCACAGTACAGGCAGATCATACCATGACAAAGATCACAGGATGACTGAACAGAGCAAGGACTACAAAGTGAGATAACAAGGTGTAGAGCTGGATGAACACAGCAGGCTGAGGAGCAGGAAAGCTGATGTTTCAGGCCTAGACCCTTCTTCAGAAATGGGGGAGGGGAAGGGGATTCTGAAATAAATAGGGAGAGAGGGGGAGGCGGATAGAGGAGAAGGTAGGTGGAGAGGAGACAGACCGATCAAAGAGGCAGGGATGGAGCCAGTAAAGGTGAGTGTAGGTGGGGAGGTAGGGAGGAGATAGGTCAGTCCAGGGAGGACGGACAGGTCAAGGGGGCGGGATGAGGTTAGTAGGGAGGAGATGGGGGTGGGGTTTGAGGGGGGTGGAGGGGATAGGTGGGAGGAAGGATAGGTTAGGGAGGCGGGGACAAGCTGGGCTGGTTTTGGGATGCGGTAGGGGAGGGGAGATTTTGAAGCTTGTGAAGTCCACATTGACACCATTGGGCTGCAGGGTTCCCAAGCAGAATATGAGTTGCTGTTCCTGCAATCTTCGGGTAGCATCGTTGTGGCACTGCAGGAGGCCCAGGATGGACATGTCGTCTGCGGAATGGGAGGGGGAGTTGAAATGGTTGAAATGGTCCAGGTGAACTTAAGGTTGGGGTGGAAAGTGTTGGTACCCGCAAGGGCCCAAGATATGCCTGCCTCTTTGTAGGTTACGTGGAACAATCCCTCTTCCGTACCTACACTGGCCCTAAACCCCACCTCTTCCTCCATTACATTGATGACTGTATCGGCGCCGCCTCGTGCTCCCACGAGGAGCTCGAACAGTTCATCCACTTCACCAACACTTTCCACCCCAACCTTAAGTTCACCTGGACCATCTCTAATACCTCTATCTCCTTCCTGGACCTCTCTGTCTCCATCTCCGGCAACCACCTAGAAACCGATATCCATTTTAAGCCCACCGACTCCCACAGCTACCTAGAATACACCTCCTCCCACCCACCTTCCTGCAAAAATGCCATCCCCTATTCCCAATTCCTTCGCCTCCACCGCATCTGCTCCCAGGATGAAGCATTCCACTCCCGTACATCTCAGATGTCCTCGTTTTTCAAGGACCGCAACTTCCCCCCCTCAGTGGTCGAGAATGCCCTCGGCCGTGTCTCCCGCATTTCCCGCAACTCATCCCTCACACCCCCTTCCCGCAATAACAACCAAAACAGAAACCCCCTCATCCTCACGTACCACCCCACCAACCTCCAGATCCAACGCATCATCCTCCGACACTTCCACCATCTGCAATCCAACCCCACCACCAAAGACATTTTTCCCTCCCCACCCTTATCTGCCTTCCGGAGGGACCACTCTCTCCGTGACTCCCTTGTCCGCTCCACACTCCCCTCCAGCCCCACCTCACCCAGCACTTTTCCCTGCAACCGCAGGAAGTGCTACACCTGCCCCTACACCTCCCCCCTCACCCCCATCCCAGGCCCCAAGAAGACTTTCCACATCAAGCAGAAGTTAACCTGCACATCTGCTAATGTGGTATACTGCATCCGCTGTTCCCATTGTGGCCTCCTCTACATCGGGGAAACCAAGCGAAGGCTTGGGGACCGCTTTGCAGAACACCTATGCTCGGTTCGCAATAAACAACTGCACCTCCCAGTCGCGAACCATTTCAACTCCCCTCCCATTCTGCAGACGACATGTCCATCCTGGGCCTCCTGCAGTGCCACAACAATGCTACCCGAAGATTGCAGGAACAGCACCTCATATTCCGCTTGGGAACCCTGCAGCCCAATGGTGCCAATGTCGACTTCACAAGCTTCAAAATCTCCCCTCCCGCTACCACATCCCAAA